AAGAAAATTTTGGCATTGTATTACATGTGTTTATTCATTGCTATTTTTATCCTGTTTACCATCCATAACAAATTGAAATACAGCCACCATAAAATAAAGATGATTTTTTTTTTTTTAATTGCACTATGAGAAAAGAACACTATTTTCTTTGCCTCATTTAAGAAGTCAAGTTATAATTCTGATAATGAAGGAATTTTTCTTCTCTCTGATTTTCTTTTTATCCAAAACTTGAAGAATAAAATTTCTTTGCCAACAAACCATTTTGCACTACTAGATCCAAGTTGACTGCAAATAACAATGGCTGATGCAAACGAGTCTCCTGAGATTGCGTTATTCTTCTGCCTTTGTGTCGTTTGACACCCCTCAGTTTGTATTTATCTTATGTGTGTCTGTAAATGTGAGGGAACATATGTATATGACCACTCCTAACCCCAAATCCTTCTACCCAGCTCTACAATGGACCATGAACACTTGTGTTATTGATTTTACTCTTCATTCATCTATCAGTGGATGATTCTAAACAGATACTTGAAGATGCAGAGTATCAAACACAATAATTCATTTAGTGATTTACAATCTGATGCAGTTCCAAATATTCATGGTTTATGGCTATGGTCTGTCACAGGCTATCTACTAATAAAGAGTCTTTAGAAAATGCACCTCTTCCAAAATGGTAATAAGTAACTTCTATCTACCAAAAACAGTAGACGCTTAGATTTAGTATTCAATATTCCTTTGCTGTTACACCGAAATATATACGGAATCCATTGTATGGTGATTGGTGCACCACATTTATTGCATCATCAATAATGTGCATGTGTAATATTTTCTGTTTATACATTATTTTAATAGATACAATTTAAGTAAAGGCTCCATTTTTAAATAAACAGTATTAATTACATTTACCACCCTGAATGTTTTAAAAATTTCATAAAAGATATGCATTCTCCAACAAAAATCGAACCTATGTCCTATATGGAACCATCAATTGATCTGACATGCTATACCACTCAGCTACAGAGAACATAAATGTAAATTCAGGCCAGTAAATGCAATTAATACTGTTTAATTAAAACAGAATTTACTAAAATAAATTTTATCTATTAAAATAACATATAAATAGAAATAAACATATATATATATATATATATATCTTTGCATTTGAAGAACACAAACAGTATGCTGGTCTAAATTCCATCATATAAGTCTGGGCAGAAGAGCAAATAGAAACTCTTGTTGCAGTCTTTCTTCATATATATATAATCAGAAAAGACCAGGAAAACCTTCCACAACACAGGACATTATCCTTATAACTCTCTGAGGACCACTTTGTATATGAAACTATTAGGGCTTGTAAATTCCTGTGTCTCTTCTTCAGTTTTGTAATATATATAACAACAATCAACACTGTGTCTATACAACTTATCTAAGAGAAAGAAACTGTCATTTCAGCCATATGGAGTGTTCTGTTTTTTGAAGCACCTCCTGTTGGCATTTTTAAAGCATGTGTACTTATAAAACTCATCTTCTAAAAGAACACAACCTTGGAATTTGTTTTATGAGAAATATTACAGATTTCCTCATGGCATTTTATAGGATCCATTAAATCCTACAAGTTTTCCAAAATCTCATTAATTTTTATGTGTTATTTGTTCAAGATTGCCATAAGAGAGACTGTTGCATAAAGTCCTGCAGCCACTAAATAATGTATTTATGATGGCAATCTGTAATTTGTTGCTGAATGATAAACCTTGTGTGTGACATTGCTCTTTTTTCACCTAAATTGACTTTCTATTGAATTGGTGGAAATATTCCTTTGTCTACCCATAAATAATTGATTAAAAAACTGGTTACCTGCTTCCCTTGATACAACATAAGTTTCCCTCTAACTCCCTTGATGCATCCAGTTAACACTTACAGAATTACACTTTCCATTAGGAAACATGTTTTTTTGCCATGAGCACAAATCACACTCAGGCTAATTTTTTACTTTTAAAGAAATCTTTTCAGTTTTTTGTTTTCCTTTGTGTTTTCTCAATTGATAAAGGAGTTGTAGTGTTTGTTATTCATTTGCTTTTTTGATCTTCTTATGTCATTATTCCCTCTCCAGCTCACCTTTTATGAAAACAAATCTTATTTAAAGTTCAAATTGGATTTTCTTTTTATTCATTATTTAGTTTTATCTTGCTTACTTAAATTTGAATTGGATCAATGAAGAATAAAAACATTTTTTCCAACTTTACCTACTGGTTTGGATATCAAGGGACAGCTATCAAGATAAAATCTTATGTTACCATTCTATTTTATTCAAAACTAGATATCCTGTCTACTTTCTATACTTTGCTATTTTCTTTCTTTCTTTTTTTTCTTTAATGCCATGTCCCTTCAGGATGAAAGTGATCATGACTCTGCACAGATTCCTTTTTTATCTGTAAATTCCCATAACTTCTTGAGAAAAATAGTTGATTAGTTTCCTATTGCCTTCTCTCCAGTTTTCAGTTTAGAGTATTTCTTCTAAGGTACCACCCAAAGCTAGAACTCACTCTACCCTGATGCAGGAGAGGAGGATGCCTTTCCTGAGGTCGTTAGTGTAAAAGTGAATGCAAAAGACTCTGTTAGAACTCTGCTCACCAATTCTGTTATACCACTTGTACATTCTGCTAATTTATGGATAAACAAAAGTCAAAAGATTTCAAGAATCTTTTGCCAGTTTTTATAAACCTGCCTCTTTTGCTGAAATTTAAGATTATTAATGCATTATTGTCTGTTTCAAGACTAAAGTTCTATAACTTAACACTTTGATTTTGAGATTATAGGATTAAATTTTGAGACACCTTCAAGCCACTGACTATTCTTAAATTTAAGTTTACCTCTGTCAGTTACATTTGTTGAGTGAAAAAGCATTAATGTTGATTGCTGTGAACTCTGTTTTACAACCAGATGACTTTGCAGTTAAGTTTAAAACATAAATCTTAATCAGAACCTCTGTGCAGAACAAATTCTCTAACCATTTAGCTTTTATTTTTTTGCCTATTATAATTTTAATAATGTAAGTTCGCTTCCATTGGACCCTTTTTGTCTGTTGCTTGTTATCAAATATTATCCACTTGTTAAAAGTGTCTTAGAATGTGTACATTAGTTGATCCATGACCCACATGTACGGATTGTTTACGTTTTGCTAATTTCTTTTTGTAAGTAAATAACAGTTACTCTTTAGCATGTAAACCATCAGAAAACTCTTTTAGTGTTCAGATATTACAATGCAAATGTCTGCTTCTCATTTTTATTGTCCTTCTCAATTATTTATATTATCCATATTAGTTTTATAACTGACATTATAGATTATCTAGCTAGCTTAGTCATCTGTCACATCAGCATTGACCACTCTTGTTGCTGTCTGTTATTGCCCTTCTCTTATATAGACAAATTGGGCAAGCAGACCTTCATAAAGAAATAGAAAATCATTTAGCAAAACAACTTTGAGGAGAATGACAACTTCTGTTGGTTATCAACATATGACACCGGATTCTTCCCTTCTCAATTAAGTAGTTCTCATGACTGGTTAAAGTAATACTAATTATTGAGCAAGGAAAATATTTTTAACATTTTTTTTTATCCTGCCTATTGTAAATTTGTTTTTCTTTTTATGCATATATTTTATCAATACTTTTTCAATTAACAATTTATATTATTCAACTCTTCAATTTTGAATTAATAGGAAAATGATAATTCATGCACTGTATAAAAAAAAATGCCAATAATATATTATTGTAATTATATATACCTGTTGCTATGAGGCCAAATATTTTTACCAAAGTATGAAGTGGAATTTTGAGTTTCTAAATAACATTCAAATAAGCAATTACACAAAGGTTAATCTTGTTAAACTGTAGTTTTAATCTGTTTCACATCTCTCTTATTGTCAGTATTTGTCTATGATGAAATAACATATGTTTCTTTTTTCTTTTCTTTTATTCTTTTTTTTTTAAATCATTTTACATCAAGCAAGGCAATTTTTTATTTATTTATTTATTTTTTTACAACAATGATGTTCACCCTGTACAACAAAGTCATTAAGATGCAATGTGTTACTGTGAAAAATATGAGAAAAAGAAAAACATTATTAGGAATTAAGACAAGTTGATGATTGACAATGTATTTAAATTTCTGAAAAGCAAGAAGCAGGAAGAGTTTCACAAGCAATTTCAACTGTAACTAATACTGCACTTAAATTTGTAATGTAGAGATACCAAAGAGGAAAGTTCATCAAAACAATTTGCCATGAAAATAATTTTAGAAAAGGCTGAAGGAAGCTACATTATGGTGATAGGAAAGTGACTGAAGCAGAGATGCTAAGTCAGGACTGATAATTTGGACATTCTTTGTATTTTAACAAGAATTTCTAAATACATAGCAGAAGCACCAGGCCAGATGTGACCGCACTATTTAATGCTTGCTTTTTTGGAATCTTGTTTTCCAGCCTGCTTTACAAAAATGAATATAATGACAAATTAATAAATAAGTGGTCTTTGAAAAGGCAGATTTTCTAATCCTTGAAATAGTTGGCTTCAGGTTAGCATCTTATTTGACTTCCATTTCTCTTTGTCACCAAGAAATTCCACATTGCCTGACTTTATTTTTTGTAGGGTTCTCTATTGGCCAAAACTTTTATGCTTATTGTTTTTTTTTGTTGTTTTTTGTTTTTTTCATTCGGATACATTTCATTGCACAAGCAAAAATCTTCCTTCTCAAAATCTAATAAAATGGATTTAGTCAAACTTTCTTGAAATAAAATTATTAATTTGTTTATCTTTTTATTGTCCAAGACAAGATCTTGCTATAAATGCTTCATCCATCCCATGTGTGTTCAGGGTCAGTTGTGCAGTGTGTGGTTTAGCTGGGCCTGTTGTTTAAGGAATTGTTCATTGGCCCTTAAGATTTGAATGAACATGTCCAACAGTAAAACAAAATCTAGCCAGCTTCGAGTAACTGATGTTATTATGTTAATCACTTGCTGGACAGCATCTATTTCTTTTTTTTTTTTTTTTCTCTCTCTCTCTCTCCACCTAACTCTGCTGTTATTCATCTCTAAGCAGTTCTTTCTTTCTTTTAATGTCATGTATGTTGTTCCATCCTGCCATCCACTGTTTCTCTCTATCATTTTTTATATTCACTCTCTTCTTCCTCTTTGAATCTCTTTTCTCATCACTTGACATTTTCCCAAAATCATGCCAGTGAAGGTTATTGTCCCCACTTGAATTAGTGTATGGACACTCATATACATGGATGACAGGCTAAATTAACATCTATAGTTATTATGGTTACTGTATTATCACTTCAAAGCTATTTGTTTTTTCTCTGATCATTTTCTATGACAAGACTAACTACTGTTGCTTCATCTTCAGGAGTACTTCTGAAATCCCTTCTTAACTCAAGAGCTTAGTCATTGGGAGACACATTGATGTCATCAGCAATATGTAGTTTGTGCTTGAATGGCAGCAAATAAATGATCAATTTTGGCAATTCAGTAGTCAGTTCATTTTCCCATTATAATTACATCATAAATTTCTAAAATGCTATTCTTGTAAGATTCTATATGATTTGTCTTGCTCTTTGAACTTTTATTTTTAGGCTGAATAAAGAATTGTATTTCTGGACTTTATCAAAATGTGAAATGAATAAAGAATTTGATTACTCTCAAAAAAACAATTATAGGAAATAAATTATGAAGAGGCAGCAAAATATTTTCTTAGGAAAGATTCAACTTTTAAATGTAATGTTGATATTTTTAAATAAATCTTTTATTTAATCTCTGGCTTCATGCCTCCAAATTGACAGGAAACGTTTGATTTTAAGTCTGATCATTTGATTTATTTCTTTAGCTAAATACTTTTACAAGTACTCCATAGTAATCCATAGTACAGTCCTACAAGTAATCCATAGTAACCACATTGTGTAAGTATTAATTAACTGCTCTTTGCTCTTGTCATTTACCTCCTGAGAACATAATTTTTTATCTAATTTTTCTTCAACTTTTTTACAACAATGAACAGAATTTTACAGATTTTGTTTTCTTTTTTTATGGAAATTTTAAAGAATTACAATTCTCATCAAATGGAAATAGAAAATGAATGTCAAAAATTGATAAAGAAATTGAATTATTTGATTTTGTCACTATAGCAAAAATAGCAGGGGACTGTGAAATGTAATCAATTTTTTTAAACTCCCAAAGAAAAACAATTTTAATTCAATGTATGTAATTAACAAGGGCAATGAATGCTTATTTTGAGCCACAAAACACTGCATAATTTTGTCATTTAACATCAACACTTAATCCTCTAATCATTTCCTTCTTCTACACTCTTTTTTCTTCCTTCCTTTTACCCTCCCTCTTTCTACTTCGCCTTTCTTTCCTTATTTCTTAAAATAAACATTAAACACATTTTTAATCTACTTGCAGCAACTGTCTTTGCTGTGGGAATAACTCTACTTTCTCTGTCTGGAGTTATCGCCCTTTGCACTTTTTCTACCTAAAGTGAAAATATCACCGAATTTGGATTTAGTAATAAGTATCTAAAATGGAGGAATATTTGTTTTCCAACGTTATTTACGTCATTCTTCTATGAAAATTGATTTTTTTTTTATTTATTTTTTTTTTTGTTTAAAGTAATAAACGCTTTCTTTGTTTTTTAGGCTTCTTAAAAAAGATTAAAAATTTATACTTTTTTCATTGAGGAAAAACTTGTTCTAGCACTTATTTCAACAAGTAAAAAAGAACCGGGCCAAATATTTTACTTTTTTCACTGTTAACAACTTTTAAATAAATAAATGGAAATGTTATTATTTTCATGAATGCTTTTTTGTTCTCTCGCTCCTTCTTTCCCTCCCACTCCCACAGAGTGACAAAAGAAGAAAAAAATCAAAAAAAGGTTTTGCAGAATCTGTTTAAAAAAATACAAATTTTAGTAAAGTTTTTGCTTAACTTCTTGTTCTCTCCCCTTCACACACATTCCAATTGTTGAAATACATAAAATGATTCTAGATTCCACCAAATTCTTGGACAGTATTTATAACATCTGCAACTATATGAAAAGAAAAACACTGTTGATATGCACTGAGAAATTAACCACAGGCCAATCTTCTCTCTGAACCAAAATCCTCGATAAAGATGATCTTTTGTTTGTTACTTACACTTCCTTTAACATTTTTATGACATTGTTCATATTTTGAGATTTGTTTGGATGGTGTATTTTAAATCATGTAGATTTGTTGATGAATGTTGCAGACCACTGTATGCCTGCAATTCCAAGATTAAATTATTTGATATAATCCATGAGGATTATCCTTGTACTATTTTTAGTAAAATCCTTTAAGATTTAAAAATTAAGAATGCATTTACCAAGACTGATGGAGAAGAAATCACAGTGGATTATCTGATACTAGAGTCCTAATGCTGCTAAACCACAAACAACACTGAAGATTTAACCTATTTGAATTGCTCAAAAGAGAAACTAAAGGAAACTACACATTGTTCACTGGTCAATCATCTGGATAAATCAACTCTTGTCCTGTCTTGAACCATAGCTGATTTCTTCTTCTATCTTATTATTCGCAGTGGAAAAATTAGTGCAGTTAGTTATTTCATATTGTAGTTAAATGAGTCTCTATTCCTCGGACATCGTTCATACAATACAAGATACCACTTGTTCAATCCGCCATCCTTGCATTCCACACACTTCACCAACGTAAAACCGTTCTGCTTTCTCACTGCTTCAGCCCTCTTTTATCAGGCCAACACCGCAACCAACCGACCAATCAACGTTCTTTGCTTTTATTCTCAGTTACCCAGGTAAATAGCCTCCTCTAGTCCAACCAATCAGTACACAACTTGCTATTGGTCAAACCATTCCAAACTGTACAAAAAACCTCCATTACAGCACATACTGCTGAAATGTACAGGAGAGTAATGCCATTTTCAAGGAACAAAATGCCGATACCACATGCCACACATTGAGGTAAGACACTTATTTTCCTTTGTACCAGATGCAAGCCACTCTGACTCACTTGCTTCTACATGACTTTTCACCACAGGTCAATGAATTGGCAAGCCTTATTCCTTGATAACTGTTTTTACAACTTCTAACGATGCTGAAGGGTCTATCAACCTAACAAAGTACAGGGTCCTTTTTACACCCGGGTATCTGGTTTATCGGTGGATATTAGCCACTTGATGTGCATCCAATTGTAGTGCATACTGAGTGCACTGTCTCCATTCCTGCCTTGTGTAGCTTTAACCACCTCTGTGGCACCCTGATTCAGATTGGATTTGACCAGTGTTATGTCCACCGTCAAGCTATATTTAGCCACAAGTTTGCAAAGTGTGTTTAATTGTCTCAGCACTAGCATCTCCCTAGACACCTTCGTATTTATTCATGCCTTGCCAGTTAGAGAGTTCGAAATCCTCTAATGGACACATGCTAAATCGATAAAAAGATGTAATGTCAACACCTGCCATTGGAGAAACAAATTAACACCATTTATTGTTGCATCTAGCTCAGCCAAATTGATGTGCTTAGCATCTCCAGCCAGGCGCAGTCAAGACACATCCCCATTGACATTTCTATTTACTTCTAGTATCACTCCTGTAGCTACAGAACTCACATCTACCCACACATTCATTTCACAGCCACTCAGTCTCCTCCTATTGGATCAGCCTCATGTATTCTGGCTATTATATCAGCTAGCATGCAATTAAGAGAGGCATCTTCAACTTCATCATACCATCCTGTGGTTAGGGTGCTTGCTTGACGCTTCACAAATACATTGGCCACTCACAGCCAACCACAAACAGAAAGTGGCCCACAAGTCTCTCACATAAGAACATATGTTGGCGAGTTATCCTCATAGGGATATTGGGGATCTCTCCACCTCACCTCCATCAGAGTGTGCCATTATCACTCCAGACCTGCAAGCCCAACATCTTAGTTCTATCTCCTAATCTTGTTGGCTCCTTGCATACTAGTCTATACTTGGACAGATTCTCTCTCACACAAGTGACAGGAATCAAACTTTTGTTGATATAAATGTCATCAATATATGCCGATGTAGCATTCACAATGACGTCATCTTGAGATAGTACTGCATCAATTACAGTTTTATGATGAGAGGTGCCACATTTAAACTGAAGCTTAGTCGTGTGAGGCAGTATCTCTGACCCTTCGATATGACAGTTTGATAGGGCAACAGCACCTTCTCAACACGTATCTGCAGATATGCCCTTCGTAAGTCCAATAAGGATACGTTAGCCCCCAATCATTGCCATTCCCGCAACTTGTGTGCACACACCTCCGAATTAGTGGTATATGGTTCCACAAAACCATTCAACTCCCAGTAATCCACTACTGGATGGACCTTCTGCTTGCTCTATTATACACTGCCATTAATGGGATTAATGGGCCAAGTTCATCTTTGGGGTATGGCTGCAGCCATCCATTATCCATCCACAACTGAAGCTCCATCTAATATTTGTCCCGTGCATAGTTGGGTAATGAATATTCTGCCATTCTATTCTTTAGGGTTATAGGTGGTTGTTCATTCATCCACTTCCATGAGGCTGTCCATACTATTGACTAAAGTAGGGCTCATTGATGGAAATAGCAGCACATTAGGGCACACTTTCTTCAAAAAAGTGAACTTCTCCTAAGCGATTTATGTGCACCCCTCCTAGTACTCTGATCATGTCAATCCCAAAAAGAAGAACAAACCCAAGTAGTAGTCCATCCACAATTAGGGCATCAATTCACACGGGTTAAGCATGACCAATTTTCAACATAATACTGCCATGTCCATGGTATGTAAGGGCTTACTGTCGACAGTTAGGACTTTTGTTTTCATTGGTTGCCAATTGCAGCATGCGCATTTGCTTATCAATCTCCACAAGCAGCCAGAATCAACCAGGGCCATGCACTTCTTTCAGTCTACAGCCACCTCAATGATAGGTATCACCATGTTCTTTAGTCGCTTGGGGAGAAAACTGTTGCTGACATCTGTTCCCTGGAGCCATTTCCCTGGCATCCTTATGATATGTGCCCAACCTTGTTGCACTGAAAACACCATGGT